ATCCTCCAGTGCTTTCCATAATTTACTTGCAGAAGTTTCCTTTGTGTATGGATATTTCTGCTCTCTAGCAAGGTAGGATCGAATGGTACCGCAAGCAACACGGTTGATAATTCTCAAATCTTATTCTCCAATAACATCTGGTCTTTTTTCTTCAATGGCAAGATCTAGCCCGTGTTGAAAAAGGACATCTAGAACCTCGCCTTGCCACATCCCAAAATGTCCTGATCCGTCAAAAATTTCTACCGCAAATTTCGCATGTGACACAATTCTTGTCATAAGCGAAGATGTCAATGATGACGTATTGTTGACACTTGATGTAAATTCTTCTTGTTTATTGTCTCCCATCTTTGACACAAATATTATTTAATAGCTGACGACAAAAATCAAGATTATTTCCTTTCTGGTGTGGAAGATCAGACTAAGCTGCAACCACAAAGCATACTTAGACAATACATTGGCTCTGATACCAATTGTTGCGGAAGCCAAATGTATATAGTGTGAATAAGTCACAACTACTATACCAAAAATTATGACAGCCACCAAATAATAAATAAGACAATAAAGCAATAATAAAAGAAACACCAGAATTTACGAGGTTCAGCCAATTTTGCCTACTCCTCGGACACAACCAATATTTTATTCCACTCCAAAAATACAAGTGAAATAATACTAAAGAGAGAAGACAAATGTCTTAAGAAAATAAAAAGGCAAATGAGATGTGTGTTTAAATCCTAAATATTAGGCCTCCTTTTATAGGGTGAAGTACCAACCAAAATTGGTATTTCACCGATATGGGATTTCTGCCATTCAACAGTTCTAACATATTCACTTTGAATTCTTGTATACACCTAAAAAATATTTACACCATCAGTGCAGTCTAACTTATTGATTATAGCATGTTAGTTACCGTTTTTATCAGGTCGTTAATTGCTACGCTATACCCAATACAAGTTGTCATGAATCAGGTTTCTAATTGGTTCATCAATGCAAGAGTAAGACTCTGGAAACCTATGGTGGAGGAGATACACATGCTTGAAACCAAGGAAGCTCATAATAAATCTTCTCAAAGGGAGGGACAAAACAGCAACAACAACTCCATTGAACATTTTCCTACGAGTAATTCACATGCAGCATGTGAAACTCCATCTACTTCTGTACCAAGATTACAAGACACTCCATCAAAACGAACCCGAAATGATTTTCCAATGGGAAACGCGGATTCAATAAGTTTATCTTATGGCAATTTATCAACTGGAACCGGTGGCGTGTCCTTAACCTTGGGCCTTCATCAGAATACTGGGATTGGTTTATCGGATCCCTTTCCGATTAATGCAGCTCGACGTTTTGGTATTGATGCAAATAGTGACAGGTTTATGGTTGGTGGATTTGAAGAACAAAACGGACAGTTTGGAAGAAATATTGTTGGTGGGCAGTTTTTGCATGATTTTGCCGGTTGAAGAAGATTTTGGACTTCATCATTTCATAAGCCTTCAGTTTATCAATTAAACACAGAGGCTTCAGTTTGATATACTCTTCAGAATCGCATGACCATCTAGGGTTGGTCCTTTGGAGGTATATTTCAACCCTAGACACATTAAGTAGGATCACAATTTCTGATGCCTATTGTTTATAATTGTGATTAAATATTTCTTTATAGTTCAGTCTTTTCATCTGTTTCAGGTTATTTAAACGTGTTCATGCATTGTCATTCGTGACTTGTTCATGGTTTTACTTGAAATCGGGGGAAGAAATGAAATTATATTTTAAAAAAATGATAAATGGAAAAAAGAAGAAGACACTTAGATTTAATCTTTTCTTTGTTTTCAGCAGAAAGTTATTAAGGAGAAGAAATTATGCTTGTTTAACTTCTATATGTCGTCAATATAATAAAAATTCTACACTAAAACAAGATGGATTAGGAACCTGATAGTACAAGACAAGTTACTTATACAACAAGTTAAAATATATAAAACTCTTCACATTGTTAGTATATTAGTTAAATTTCTCTTCTTGGTTTTTTCCTCCTTTAGATATAATGTTATTCTACTGTATTGTTTTTGTTATCTTTCTTGGATTCAGACCCCACCTACGGGACTATACTATATGCGTTTGTTATTGTTGTTATTGGTTCCATGATGGACGCTGCTTTATGCATGGACTATACTATATGCGTTTCGTTGTTTAATTAGTGTGTACAAGTTATAAAAGGGAGTTTTGGAGCAACAGTAAAGTTATTTTCGTGTAACCTATAAATTACAAATTCGAGTTATAAAATTAGCTATATATTGATACATCACGGTAAGTTGCCTATATCAAGTGAAGTCTTTTCCTAGGTCCTGCATGAACACGGAATATTTTGTGCGCAAAATTTTCTTTGTCTTTTTATTAGTGTATACAAGTTACGATTTTTTTCCCTCCAGATATAGTTTTAAACTGTTCTTTTTATATTTCTTCTTGGTTAAATGAAGGAAGCTGCTTTATGCATGGCCGGTCTTTGTTCGTTTAGATGCATGTCTTTTTTTTTTTTTTTTGGATGCTTTCTAAGGAGCAATCATTTCAGGCTAGTTTCTACATGTTTTTTTAACTAAGTTCTGTACATGTAGTCTTCATCCTAGAGAAATTAGGGAATCTTTGATATATGTTGCAGTAGTTTAAACCTTTTTCCTAGTGGTGGGCCTTTTCTCATTATATAATTCAAAATTCTATTATCCTGAAAGTAGATGCAGCAGTTCTTTTGTTTTTGATATTTATCTGATTAAACTTTTTTGTCATAGATAGCCACTATTATATTATTTTATGGCTGAGACTTGACATGCTTTATACAATGATTTATTTCTGTGCAAGTTGCACTATAATAATTTTTGTTTCTTGTTCTGCTTTTTCTTTATTCAGGGCAGTAAAAAGTAAATAGTAGCTTAAAGCGTTACAACGGCCAGAATTTTGAAGATAAACTTGGAAATATTCTGTTCTGATCGGTTTATGAAATTCATTTGGTAAGGTAAATATTAGATGATGTAATTTACAATGAAATAATCAAAATGTGATCAAATTTTTGTGTTGTAAAGCAGTGCTTTTTGATGCTTTTCGAATTCGGTGTATCAATCTCAGTTTTAACTAGCAGTATGATCTTCATGATTTATGGGTTCTGATTCAATTGTCACGTATTTAGATCTCTCCATTTCAAGATTTGTGTTTGTTTTGTTGCGATCAATCATTAAAAAGTTTTAATGTTGTCATTGATTAAAATATTGTTTTAGTTATACTGGTATTATTTTTTATTGATTATTTTGTAAGTTGTATTAATTATGAGAATGTCAATTATACCGCTTTATGCTAGAGAATTTATTATGGGAATACTATTCCACCCTCTAAGGGTTCGTTTGGTTGGGAAATAAGTTATCCCATGATTAATTTTTCCGGAATTAGTTATCCTAAGATTACTTATCCCACTCTTACATAGAGATAAAAAACACTACAATTCTGGGATAACTAATCCCGGGAGTAGTTATACTACGATTTTATCACAATCAAACATGGGTTAACCCATCTCAAATTTAATATCGGGATTACTTATCCCTTATACCTTATACCAAACAAGCCTATCAGGTATAAGTTATCCCGATACTTTTTTCATTAACGATCCGGCCGATCATTTTGAGAGTTATAGCCTTGATCCCCTATTAACTGCTTTCCTCATATCTTTTTCTACTTATGTGACTTGTCAGGAGGTTTCGTTTTGGTTCTTGGAGTGTTTTGGGACACTTAGTCCATAAACAGATGCTTAAGTCTTAGAAATTGGATCGTTGTCCGAACTATATGAAGACGATTTCGGAATAGAGTTCTGTCGATTTTGTTAGCTCCGCTGGGTGATTTTGGGCTTAGGGGCATGTCCGGATTGTATTTTGGAGGTCTGTAGCTTATTTAGGCTTAAAATGGCGGAAGTCGAATTTTTTGAGATTTGGACCGATAGTGAAATTTTTGATATCGTGGTCGGAATCTGATTCCGAAAGTTGGAGCATGTTCGTAATGTTTATTATGACTTGTTTGCAAAATTTGGGGTCAATCGGACGTGGTTTGATAGGTTTCGACATCGGTTGTGAAAATTTAAAATTTCAAGTTCTTTAAGTTTGAATTGGAGGGTGATTCATGATTTTAGCGTTGTTTGATGTGATTTGTGGGCTCGACTAAGTTCGTATGGTGTTTTAGGATTGGTTGGTATGTTTGGTTGAGGTCTCCGGGGCCTCGGGTGAGTTTCGGGTGCTTAATGGATCATTTTTGGACTTTGGCAATTGGCAGATTTTCTAGTGTGTTGTTGCAGACAATTCCTTCATCGCATTCGCGAGGGAAGTCTCGCGTTCGAGTAGGTCATCTGAGAGGCCAGCTGAGTTGTTCTTCACGTTAGCGACGTTTTTCCTGCGCTCGCGAAGGTATGGAGCACCAAGGCTACGCATTCGCGACAAGGACCTCGCGTTCGCGTAGAGTCAACGGTCAGATGGGCTCCAAGTATAATAGCCTACGCGTTCACGATGAGTGTCCCACATTCACGTAGGGTCAAGCTAGTTGAGCTTCGCGTTCGCGACCAGTGCATCACGTTCGCGATGAGTACTTTTTTGGACTGAAGAAACTTGTACTTCGCGAATGTGAGGCTTTGACCGCATTCGCGAAGAAAGTTGACATGGGCATTATTAAACATTTCAAAAACGAGGGTTTGACTGTTTTTATCAGTACTTGAGTTTAGGAGCTCAGATTTGGACGAGGTTTTGGGAGATTTTCAGAGATATCAATTGGGTAACGATTCCTAACTCGATTTTGGTTATATCTTACTAATCTATCATTGATTTTGTCATTTAATTTCGGACTTGGGGTGAAAATTTAAAAAATTTGAGGAAAGTTCTTATGCCGATTTTTGGGGGTTTGATCGAGATTTTGCTATCGGATTTGAGTAAATTTGGTATGGTTAGACTCGTGAATGAATGAGTGTTCGTATTTTGTGACTTTTACCCGATTCCGAGATGTGGGCCCATGGAGGAGTTTTGGGCGTTTTTATAATTTCTTGCTTTAGCCTTGAATTCATTAGCTAGATTAGTTTCTTGTAGCTATATTTACGTTATGTAATTGATTTGGCTAGATTTGGGCCATCTGGAGCCGAATATTCGTGGAAAGAGCATTGTTACGGATTGATTTGAGCTTGGTTCGAGGTAAGTGGCTTGTCTAACCTTGTGTGGGGAAACTCCCCTTACGATTTGGTACTGTTTTTGATGTATGAGCGTCGTGTACGTGACGAGTGCCTACACGGGCTATTTGTTGCAAAACTCCATTTTTATTAAGTAAAATATTTGTTTTCCTTTAATTGAGCTACACTAGCATATGTAATTATCCTGTTTAGTCTAGAACATCATGTCTATGTGTCTTAATTGCTTACCTGAACCATGTGCATGGTTAGTGAATTTCCTGATTTTTCATTGACTTGTACTTAGTCTAAACTGTAGGTTTTCTTACTGTAATTGTTATTTCTGTTGTTTGAGTTGCATATTTACTTTGGGAGTACAGAACGGTATTCCGATAGATCCCCTTGCATATTTACTTAGGACTACGGAACGGTATTCCGGGAGATGCCTCAGCACTGCATATTTACTTTGGGACTACGGAATGGTATTCCGGGAGATCCCCCTGCGCATTACATTTGGGACTACGGGACGGTATCCTGGGAGATCCCCTGTTGTTATCTCTGTATTCTGATATGTTGTTCTTCTATGCTTACATTCTTGTTAAATTTCAGTATTTATTTTTACTACGATAGTTCATTCTGTTATATTTTATTATAAATATACCAGTAGGGCCCTGACCTGGCCTCGTCACTACTCGACCGAGGTTAGGCTTGACACTTATTGGATACAATTGTAGTGTACTCATGCCCTTCCTTGCACATGTTTTCCGTGTGCAGATCCAGGTACCACTTATCAACGACATTATCAATAAGGCGAGCCAGCAGTAGAGACTTCAGCTCGAATCAGTCTCGAAGCAGTAGAGACTTCAGCTCGAATCAGTTTATTTTTGTAAGAGTGAGTAGTAGTGATTGTTGGTGTAATTTTTTCAGGGGGTTTGGGAGAAATTTGATGTGGATTTCCTGAATGTTGTTGCAGTGAGATGTTGCTCATTCTCTCTCTAGAATATTTCTATTTTTTTTAATAAACTTGTTCATTTATCATGGTTAAATAAAATCTAAAAGAATCAAATAGTAGTTTAATAGTTTAAATATAAAAGCAACAGTTCATGAAAATGAAACGAAATACAATAAATTACTTAAATATTAACCATAATCCGCAAAATTGATCATTAAGTCATAAATAACTACACTATATTGTTCTGTTATTCTTATTAAACGTAAAAAATTTAAATTTAACGTTTTGAGTATGGCTATTAGGGGATCTTTACAGAAATTGCCGGCCATTTCAATTGTTTAATTTTAATAACTGGTATACATAGATTATATGCTGATATATATATATATATATAAGTAATTGAGTGAGTTGCAATTTAGGTTAATTTTGCATTTTTTTAGGGTAAATAGCTGCGCTAAAAGATCATATTGTTAGATTTGATAATTAAAGTGAAGATTTGAGAAACATTTGGAGTAAATCCCAACATTGAGTCGGTTAAAGAGAGCAAATATCATAAAGAGAATTAGAAAGTGTAAAACTAACCATTTGAGGTGTCATTACAAACCACTAAGGAACATATATTAACCGAGGTCTCGAGTTCAAGCTCAAGAAAATAAAAAATAAAATCTTTAGTAGGGACGCGAGAGCGGTTTTTACTTTTATGAGCTTTATATGACGTGTATCTAGACTATTTAAACTAATGAGTATGAGATACCAGATAATTATATATTTCTTTTTAAAAAGAATGATGCTCCATTTAAATTTACAACAATAATCAACATATAATTTTTTAAGAAGAAATCAAAATAGTTATCCGTATAATCGCTTAAACTAAAAATAATTATTAAATATATAATATATATAATTTATTTATAATATATCTACGGGGTAAAAAAATAATAGTGGATCCGACTGACCACTCGGGTAAAGATCTCAAATTTTAACTTGGCATGGACCGGTGCTAAGCCCATAAATAAGCTCAGCAGCTCCCTTGGGCTCTCAGGTTGGCCCTTCTTGTCTTCTTTGGACTCTACCACCTTTGTGTTCGGTAAAATAGCACGGTCTATCTAATTTTTGGACGGAACATTCAAAAATAGCCAACATTTACCAATTCAATAAAAAATAGTCATTATTTTGCTGTAACAGAGACCGATCCAGTATAATATACTGGAGTTCGGTGCACCTGTGTATGAACTTCCAGCATATTATGCTGGACCGGTATATTTTGCTGGCTCCAGTATAATATACTAGAGACTGGAGCACCGTTGCTCCAAACTTCAGTATATTATGCTGGACCGGTATATTATACTGGAACTCTAGTATATTATGCTGGAGTATTTTTCTGGATTTTGAACAGTTCGTTCAGATTTATTTTTACATGAAAAGTGGCTAAATTTCGATTACTTTTGAAAGTGTGGCTATTTTTGAATGACCACTTGTAAATTTGACTATTTTTGAATTTCTCCCTTCTGTTCTGGATGTTTATACTGTACAATGGGAAGTACTTGAGCAAAATGGCACATTAGGCTGGCCCAGAAAGGCTTGAAATTCAAATGGGGCAAGTGCACAGATAGCCATTTTTAGGGATGTCATTTAGAACTTAGTCAATACTTAATTTTTTCCCTAAAATTTTAAGTTAAAAATCTTAACTTTATAACAATTCAGGATATTTTTATTCTGAAAATTTAAAAAATTGAAATTCAGGAAGTATTGGCTAATTCTTAAATATCACAACTTGGTGGGTGAAATTTAAAAATAGCCAGATCTAAAAGCGGTAACTAAAAAATAGCCACAATTTCAATAATAATCGAAATTTAGCCCCTTTTTATGTAAAGATAAATCTGAACGAAAACACTGTTCAAAATTCGGAAAATATTCCGACATAATATACTGAAAGTTCATACATAGATGCTCCAATCTCTAGTATATTATGCTGGAACTTTTCGTATGTTGAAGTTCCAGCATAATATGTTGGAAGTTCATACATGGGTGCACCAATCTCCAATATATTATGCTGGAACTTTTCACGTTGCAGCAAAAGAGTGATTATTTTTCAATGACTTTGCGAACGTTGATTATTTTTTAATTACCAGTCCGAAAACTGGCTAGTCCGTGCTATTTTCACCTACCTGGTGTCATTTCTACAATTATTCACCCCCCCTCTCCCTCCATGCTCTATTTTATTTACAAAGTTCCAATTTCCAATGGGCCTAGTTTAAGCAGCCGTCTTTAAAGTCCATCAGAAAGAAAAGCCCAAGCTAAGCAGACGCAGTAAACAGAAGAGAGCATAGAGAGATCAAGAAAAGAATATTCCCATAAAAGAAATAGGAAAAGTATTACTCCACAAAAACAACAAAGTTTCTCATAAAACAAAGACTAGCACTTTCAAACCAGTCTTCTTCCTTAGGGTTTTCCCTAGGGTTTAACCAAATATCAGATGATTCAAGAAAAAAATTGAAACTTTAACATAAAGAATCAATCTTTTTGCTATTAGATCAAGAATGGAAGCCAGAGTAGGAGTTGAGGGTGGTGCAAGAAAGTTTTTACAACAACCCCAAAAGTCACAACAACATCACCATTATCACACACAACAACAACAGCAGCCACAGCCTCAACCTCAGATTGGTACTGTGCCTCAGCTTCTTGCTGGTGGCATTGCTGGTGCTTTCAGCAAAACCTGTACTGCTCCCCTCGCCCGCCTCACCATTCTTTTTCAGGTAATTTTTCTTTTTCCAAAGACACCCGATTTCTTTGATATGTATTTTCCTTTCTGTTTCGTCTAAGTTGTCAACTAGGGCTATATGAGTCTTCTATATTTTGAATTCGGGTCCATTTCATCCTTAGTTTAAGATTTTAAAAGGCAAAAAAAATTAGGGTACATGTAAAATGGAGTAAGCAGAATGAATCAAAGGAGGAAAGACTTTATTGGCTGATTTGGACAGAGGGATAAATAATTGGTGATATATGGGGTAGAAAAGGTCAAACTATTCCATTTCTTAGGAAATGGAAATTGGACCTATATAGGTTTGAATTGAATGGCTTGATATTGGTAGTATAATTTGGTTAATGTGTGAGTTGAAATATAGTTTTGTGAGGGATGAGAAAATCTACGTGTGCATTTAACTAATTTTATTTAGTTGAATGCTTCTGTTTTCTGATATTTTCTTAAATATGTGCTCTGCAATATCTAAAATTCTTGTTTGCAGTTGCTTGTTTTGGTTCGTTTCGGGACTTATTGTTGGCTTGAACTGCTTAAGATTAACTAAAATAAAGTAATAGTAAAACTTTAGAGCTTTGATTTATTGGAAAAACAAATTACATCGATGTTTCAACAGTTCTTGTGTTTTGATATCCCTTTCAATTCATTGTTTGAATGTTTTCAATTCTTAGGTTCAAGGTATGCATTCAGATATAGCAGTATTAAGCAAGCCCAGTATATGTCGTGAGGCATTGCGAATAGTCAACGAAGAAGGATTCAGGGCTTTTTGGAAGGGGAACTTGGTTACTATTGCTCACAGGCTACCGTATTCCTCAGTCAATTTCTACTCTTATGAACGCTACAAGAGTGTGAGTATATAACTGTGCCTATATAAAGTTCGGCAGGAAATATTTGCCATCTCTTCTGAAATTATTATGTTTGGCAGCTATTGAAAACAATTCCTGGCCTGGATGGTAAAGGAGGAAATGCAGGTGCCGATATTTTTGTGCACTTTGTTGGTGGTGGATTGGCTGGAATAACAGCAGCTGCTGCCACCTACCCGTTGGATCTTGTCAGGACAAGATTAGCTGCACAGGTATAACTATGTAGCAGTGCTTTCTAGGTCTTGTCGATCCATTGAACAGTAGAGCAGGGTATACTAGTTTTATCCTCTCTAATCATATCTTGGTTTCTTGTATTGTTTGATTAGTGGAGCATCATGTTGTTGTCGTCTTTAGATTACAATTTAGATGGTTTAGGGACAATATCGATTCAAATGTCATGCTTTGTACTTGTCTTTAGTAGCGTAGCCAGGGCTTTTACTAAAAGGTGTCAAGATATTAAAATAAAATAAACACGAAGAAAGTAAGGGAATTCAACATATAGTATATATACATAAAATAAATTTTTGACCTAGCTAAACTGTATAATTTTCCAGCAAAGGGGTGTAATTGACACCCTTTAGCATAAGGTGGCTCCGCCATTGCTTGTCTCTATGTGTGTGGGCAACATAAAAAACGAGTAGCTTCCACTCTAATTGACTAGATTGTGGCTTTTTATTTATTCCATAAATATGACTTGAGCATTATATATATATATATATATATATATATATATATATATATATAT